GGAGGTGTTGCTGTCAGTGGTTGGTATATGAAATGTTGTCTGCAGGGTGGCTGCAGTCACTTTATCTTACTAGGTGTTGAGATGGAAAGATGGTTTAACAAACTATGTCTTCTTAACCTTCTTCCTTCTTCTTGCATCATATTTGAGTGATATGGTGATGAGACGACAGTTGGGATGAGGATTGTTTTCAAACTTGCTGAATACATATATTGACTTTCGTTTGTTTTGTGTCTCACTTTGTCCCATTAGAAAGTCTAGTCATTATCACATGCCCATGCAGGGGAAGCACTCATACTGCAGATCTATAAGCTAGAGAAGATCCATCCAGTGAGGTCATGGACCTTGGCGTGACAGATTTATCTACTTTAATTACAAAAACCTTCTTTTTTATGACATGCTCCCTCTGTCATGTCTTTACAGGAGTGATGTTCACAGCTAATTAGGTATTATTCACAACCTGTGAATCTGTTTTTGTGTTTGTAGGTGGCGTCACTTTCTTTGTGGCCTTGTACGACTATGAAGCTAGAACATCAGATGATCTTTCATTCAAAAAAGGAGATCGCTTCCAAATCATCAACAACACGTAAGCATGGTCCTAGTTTCTCCTTCTGTCTTTAGGCCCACTTATTTAGGATATGTTTCATTTCATGTTTCAATTCCAAACTGCACCTGTGCCTCATTTTTGTATCTATGAATGGAATTTGATTGCTTTTTTATTCCTGCTGCTGGATGTGTGAGTTCTCTTTATTTAATTCCAGCCGTGGCAGAAATGTCGCCTGAGGTTACAGCATTGTAATGCTAAGTAGATTTGTCTCATTCAGCCCCCATTGTGATGCTGGTTATCCGTCACGCCTCACATTTCAAAGACAGTTGAATCATTTTTTGTATCAAATCTGCAGGTTTGAATGAAAGCAGATGAAAAAAACGTACAAAAAGATGATTAAAAAATCAACATGCAAGGCAACATGCAGATAATGTGAGGACAATTTTTACAACTCCGGCCCCTGAATGAGTCACTGTTAACCACCATTCACCTGTTTTAACCCGAGTATCAGTCATAGCAGGACGTGTTAGTAGTGACTGGAAGGGTTTTTTTCAGTGTCCTTTGGTTTATGTTTTATGGGAATACTGATTCTACCATCGGCACTACAAGCAACATTTTTTAGGTATTAATCAAGCGGCAAAGTCTGGTGTTGAAAAATGAAGCTAATGCTGAAGTGCAAAATCCTGTAGTTCCATTTGTGTCCACTCGAGGCTTGCTGCAGAAGCACAGAAAGTCACATCCACACCCATTCAAAAAGCCTGTTTTTACAGCAGACATTAACATGTTTACAGCCTGGTTCAAACAATTAAAAAGGCCTCGTTAGCTCATGTTTCTATCTGCACACACTGTACAGGGGTTGAATTTTTTGATAACTCGTCTGTTTTGATTTGATGAAGGATAAGAATTATTCACAATAAGAGGTTAACTGACCTGACTGACAGGCTGGCACGATGTTACAGTTTATAAAGAGGCTTAAAACCCACCTCAGCTCCAGTCTCAGCCTGTCATTAGGTTGACTGAAAGTTAGGCTGAGACAGCATTTCCAGCATGGAGACCGCCATCGATGGGACTCCAGCGCCCCCTGCAGGAACAGATGTTTGACGTCACTCAGGCTTCATCCATTAATATTTACAGTCTATGATGTTAATGAAGGAAACGTTGAACTGTTAATTAATGAAGTCCGTTTTGTAACCTCTCTGGTGTCATCGTCCTCCTGCAGAGAGGGAGACTGGTGGGAGGCTCGCTCCATCAACACGGGAGGAAAGGTTACATCCCGAGCAATTATGTGCCCCTGCAGACTCCATCCAGGCTGAAGAGTAAGGCTTAGTATTCGCTGCTTGTTGTAGTATCATCGTTCCATCTACAGCGACTCCTCCAGGAGACTATTAATGCTTCCATGATCTCACCTCAGGTGGCTTACAACAATGCAGAGGAAGCTTCTTAATGTCATTTTGATGTTCTAATCTAAGCAATGACATCTTGTTAAGCTTTTAATAGTGTTCACTAAGATCTTCTGACAGCACTTAAATCTTAAGTTTGTCTGGTTTCTGATGGTGTTTCTCTCAATAGGTGGTACTTTGGTAAGATGGGACGCAAAGACGCTGAGAGGCTGCTGCTGAATCCAGGGAACAATCGAGGAACGTTCCTGGTGCGAGAAAGTGAAACTACTAAAGGTGAAGATTTCTTACACATAATGTACAAAGTAAAGTTTGAGGAGTCTCCTTAACTAAAGGTCCTGGTCATAGTCTGCTTGGACGAGCTGGTCTACAAGCATCCGGAGAGCTTTAAGACTTGAATGGAGCAGAACTCTCCTTATTAAATCCTCTTTATCTCAAGACCTCTATTTGATAACAAACCTTGTTGTCTTGTATTAATGAGCATAGTTCTGCTGATTAGCAAAAGTCAAGGCAGGTTACTGCTTGGCGCCCCAGACCAGAAGGGGAACCCTGAGGGCTCACAAACTTAAACCAAAGCAGTGGCCCAAAATGTGCAAGTTTTGCATCAACCGTAGGAATCCTCCCTAAGGGGGCCCCATCTGACAGCACTCAACTCTCGTTGCCAAAACCCTTTATCAACTCTACATGGTCCAATGAGGAGTGGGATAAAGAACCTTTCTCTCGCTTCCTCCAGGTGCTTACTCTCTCTCCATACGGGACTGGGATGATGCCAAAGGAGACAACGTGAAGCACTACAAGATCCGCAAGCTGGACAGCGGGGGATACTACATCACCACGCGAGCACAGTTCGATACATTACAGAAGCTTGTCAAACACTACACGGGTATGTAGTGTGACAGCAGAGGAACATTTGCCTCTGAGTGAATGCTAAAGTGTTACCAAGGGAGATGAGAAGCATTTCATTTAGTTAACAATTGATGGAGTGGTTATGATCCAGGTCGAATCTCTGTCATCACACTTGCCTTCAGTTTGACTGCAGAGGTTTTAGTGCGTTAAAAGCCACTTCATCTCATTTATATTTCATCACAGTTGGTGTAAGAGTTTGATTTCATCCACATCAAATGAAATGAAGCGATGCATGAAACCGACCGGCTTTAAAACGCCGTATCCTGCCAGTTCAAAGGCTCATGCTGCTGGGGTGTGTGTGTGTGTGTGTGTGTGACACCGCTGGGTGTAATGTTACCTTTTTGATCGCTTTGCTCGCTTCATCACAGAACACGCTGACGGGCTCTGCCACCGGCTGACCACCGTTTGTCCCACGGTCAAGCCTCAGACCCAAGGGCTGGCTAAAGACGCCTGGGAGATTCCTCGAGAGTCCCTGCGACTGGAGCTCAAACTGGGCCAAGGCTGCTTTGGAGAGGTCTGGATGGGTAAGAGAAAGACGAATGAAAATGTCTGGAAACAGTTTCTTCCTGGCGTCATGCATTTGTTTGTTATTCAGTTGTAATTATCCTGATGTGAACACAAACGCAGGATCAGAACAGATTTTCTTTTTTTTAAGGAACACAACATAATTTGCTTAAATCAAAAACACACAAACACTCTAAAGCTTACAGTTATTGTGTCTATTTTTGGCCCAAACTTGGGAATTATCCACATCCTGCAGTTGCTTCCTCTGTTTGTTGCACATCCCCAGAGACGGTCAAAATAATTTGCTCCTTTCACGACGCCAAACTCATATCCGCTCGTCCTTTCTGCAAGGAGTGCATGCATGACAGCACATGTCTGAGCAATTACAAGCCCTAATTAATGATATTGTCCCACTCACACCCCATTAACAACACTGATTACCCTTTCAGCCTGTGGGCTTTTTCTCTCAACCACCCCCCTGTGTTTTTTCTTTTGCAGGCACGTGGAACGGCACCACAAAGGTGGCCATAAAGACGCTGAAGCCGGGCACCATGTCCCCAGAGGCCTTCCTGCAAGAGGCTCAGATCATGAAGAAGCTGAGGCACGACAAACTGGTGCCTCTTTATGCTGTGGTGTCCGAGGAGCCCATTTATATCGTCACAGAGTACATGGCTAAAGGTACACGCAGATACAGGGAAACATACTTTCCAAACAGGCATGTTGGATTAGCAGGTAAACACATTTTCAGAGAGCTTCCAGCCCTGGAGAATATCAAGACTGAAGCTGTTCCCTGTTACTCTCATGAGGCCTCACAAAGTCTCACACTGCAGACAGTTAAGGCACAGAATTGATCAAGCGGCTTCAGTTTTTCAGCACCGCACTGATGTCAGCTGTACGCATGATGATTCCCTTAAAGAAAAAAATGCAAATGTTATGTATGTTTTAATTAATGTGCTGCACAGATTGAAGGTCCTTGAGAATCCCTTGTGGTTTCCCGGAGGACTGAAACCGAGATGTTTAATTGAAAACTGCAGTAGTTTAGCAGGGAAGGTTTCATAGCTTCATCTGCAATGCGTTGTTTTCCAGGTTTTTATGAGTAGTTAGATATTTGTGTGTGTAAATGCTAACTCTAAGACGTATGCCTCTGTGTGTCTAAATGCCTACAGTTTGTTGATCCGCTGTGCGTTGTGATTTGATTGAGTAATTTCGACCATTACTCTACTCCTATTGCAGAAGTATACATCCTCTAATAGGCACCAAATGAGAAACAAATCAATATGGAAGGCATAACCAATTCAATACTGAGCTTAATTTATTATTCCCAACAAGGTACAGAAAAGATGGAGGGCTTAATTGAAATATTTAACATCTCATATAGGAGGACATTAGTATGCAGGCGGTATCATTTATTGCTCCCACATTATGTCATGGCCGCTCTGCATTTATGATCTCTCACTGCTTTTACAGGAAGCCTGCTTGACTTCCTCAAAGAGGGTGATGGAAAGTTTCTGAAGCTCCCATTGTTGGTGGACATGGCTGCACAGGTGAGGAAATATTATGTCTCCCTCCACAGATTTGCATGAAAAAAATGTAAGTAGCTACCCACTGATTTCTGAAAATGTGTTATGAAGCCCATCGACGTCGCTCGCCATATTGGAAAACGATGTCTGCACCAAACCTTCGCTCAAATAGCTGTTCAGGCAAGCCGCACTGCTAAATTCTAAGGGAGACCTCAACTGCAAAAACCCAAAGTTACAGACGGAGACACAAATACAATTCACAAAAACATACGACCTCAAGAAGTGTTTTTTTTGTTTGTTTTGCGAGTGCAGAATTTGTGTCAGTGATTCATGCTGTTGAGCTTGCGGTGTTATTTTAAGCCTCAGATTTTGAATTTGTATTTTTAGCCTCAGGTTAACATAACTTCCTCTCCCAGATTTGGCATACTTCTGTTCTTTTTGTTATTTGTCTTCTCTTCTATGTCTGTCAGAGGGGCTTGATGTTCTGAGAGGCTAAAAATTATTTGCGGAAGCCGCCCTCATGAGATGCTGTCAATGTATTTATTTTTATTTTTATTTTTTAGATTGCAGACGGCATGGCTTTTATCGAGAGGATGAACTACATCCACAGGGACCTGCGTGCTGCCAATATTCTTGTGGCCGACAACCTGGTGTGCAAGATCGCTGACTTTGGTTTGGCCAGGTTGATAGAGGACAATGAGTACACAGCCAGACAAGGTGGACGGACACACACACACACACACACACACACACACACACACACACACACAGCTGAGTCACTGGTGAAAGATGGAGCAGTGACCTCACAGCAAGGTTGACTCCCTGCTGTCTTCTTTCATGGTGAATTAAGATAATGGTGGAAAGCAGATGCTCCTGTTCACTCTGATTAGTTGCATTTTTAACACGCTGGGAGAGCTCATCTCACCGCCTTCTCCTGAAACAAGTAAAAACAAGATGGGTCATTTTAGCTTCATTTAACTCGTGTTTTTCAGAACACAACGGAAGGCATCGCTATTTGTGCAAATGTGAACCCATACGTTGAGCCAAAAACCGTTAAAATTGTTGAACGAAGGAGCAAGCCTTCCAAGATCTACTCATGAAAAAGCTCTTGACAACATTGTACAAATCACTTCAGAGAAAAGATGTGTTCATTTTCACTATTCATGTCGCAAATGTTAGCATGCTAAATGTTACAGCCTAAAAATGTCTTAATCCTCGTCACAATGGCTATTTTAGTAAAGCTGCTGCGCCCTCTAGTGACCTTACCTCACCTGACCCTCTCTGCTCTGCATGACTTCCAGGAGCCAAATTCCCCATTAAATGGACGGCCCCCGAGGCCGCTCTCTACGGCCGCTTCACCATCAAGTCAGACGTCTGGTCCTTTGGGATCTTACTCACCGAGCTGGTCACCAAAGGCAGAGTGCCCTACCCGGGTAAGTGATCCTAACAATGGACGCACAGAACAACAAATATTAGAGGGGTCAGAGGGTGGTAATACACAGCAGGAGTTATCAGCTTTCAGTCTGTCGGAAGGCGTCAAGCTGGCGTGCTCATTAATGACAGAGGATGACGTGACGCTGTCTGATATTGTCTGTGCTGGTTTGTTTATGCCTCTGCAGGGGGAACAGTGACAGCCACACACACACACTCATAACCTTAACACACACACACACACACACACACATTTGAGATTAGATGAGACCATCTGGTGGAAGGCGAGCAGGAGATTGAACACCACTCTTGTTTATAACCATCTGCCAGACTGACACTGCCCTGGGGAGCGGCGCCTGCAGGGCTCAGTAACACCTTCACACAGCTCCACTTTTCATCAGATTTATAAAGCCGAAGAGGGAGATCAACTTTGCAAGAAGAAACATTTCAAATACTACTTTGGCACTAGGTTTCATGAATTGTTTAACACTTACGGAAGTACGTATCCTCACTGAAGAGTTTAAACATTTACCTTCATACCCTAGCTAAAGTTTGTAGCTCATTAGCTTAGCATCACATGAGCACTAAAAACAGTAGGACAGCTTCCACAACATTTTCTTCTAAGTTGTTGTTGTTCTGCAGTTGATCATTTTCAACACGATCATCTTTGGCCAGGTGCAGCGACTGCCCCTGAGTCACAAGGTTGCTAGGCAACATGTAGGGACTACCCCTTGTTCCCTGTCTTTGTGCTTCATGCTGTTTGGGTTCAGCACCTGATCCTAAGACCGGTTTCCCCAATGGAACAATGAAATGTATTGTATCATATCCTTTTCTATCCTATCCCATCTTATCGTAGCGTACGTAGCGTAGCGGTTAGAGCCAGGACAGGGACTGTTCAAAACCGGGACATATTAGTGTTTCATAGATATTTGTCGGGACTCTGGGCGAAGAGCTTCAAAATTGGACGGTGCCGGTCAAATCGAGACGGATGGTCACCCTACAATTCTACAATTCACTTAGCAGACGCTTTTATCCAAAGTGACGTACATCAGAGAGTAAGAACAACACAAGCAAGGATCTAGAAAAAAGGGAACAATGTCAGTAAGAGCAAACGATCAGCTTTGAGTCTGATTGGACACACAGGTGCTGACAGGAAGTGACCAGAGGCAAAGCACAACATTGATTGTAGTTCTTGAGAGCTCTAATCAGTATAGAAACCATCTTATAAGTCATCGTTATCAAACAAAAACCATCATCATCATCAATAATATGGAGACCATCATCATTAAGTTAGTAGGTATTCATGAAAGAGCTGGGTCTTTAGCTTTTTCTTAAAGGTGCAGCGGGACTCTGCAGATCGACCTAACCTAATCGTATCGTATCAAATCCTAATCTAAGCTACACATTTCCTTGCTGTAGCTTCAAATTTAGTGTTCAGGTTTGACGTCAATCTTCTCCTCTAACTTCAAATCACAGCGTGATCACAAGCATCAATCTTCTCTTTTAAACTTTTCTCAGCGTGTATAAAAAATGCAAAGTTAGCTAAATAAAAAAAAAAATAATCTCTGACTATAGGATCAGACACTTGGTCAGAGTCTGTTGAGACAGTCATGTTTTGAAAAGTTAAGTTGAAGAAAAACAAACACATGAGCCCCTTGGATTTTTTCCTCTCACTCTTGTCACTATATTACCTTTTTTTGATCCAATCAAACTCCTTAAGAGGAAGAATGTTTGACATTTCACACATAAATATTACAAGGGCGACATCTACTGGATCAAAAAGTCGCTCATTCTTCCTTTAAATAACATTATTAAATGATTTTAAATCTCTGACTCACCTCTGTGCCTTCCCGTCTCCTCTTCAGGGATGGTGAACCGAGAGGTACTGGAGCAGGTTGAGCGAGGCTATCGCATGCCCTGCCCCCAGGGCTGCCCGAGTCCCTGCACGAGATGATGAAGCTGTGCTGGAAGAAGGAGGCGGACGAGAGGCCGACGTTCGAGTACCTCCAGTCCTTCCTGGAGGATTACTTCACCGCCACAGAGCCACAGTACCAACCCGGAGAGAACCTATAGCCTGCCTGGACGCCTGGAAGTGGACGCGGTTATTGAAAGAAGGAAAAACAAGAGCTCTTAATTATTCACTTGATCAGAAACTAGACGTAAACCACTACTTGCTCAACCACATATTTTTGGCTCTCATCGTCCGCCATCATTTCATCTTTTTGTTTTTCATTCATGGTACCACACGTCTGACCAATGGGTTTTACCACCGTGCACGATTAACGACTGTTTTTCATTTTTAAATCCATTGTAAACACCCCACATGTGGGACTCTTTGTGGTGAACACAGTATGTCGCTGTGAAATAAGCTGTGATAATCCCTCGCATTAGCAAAAAACCCCATCACAGAGTCCCAAATGTTGGGCTTTTGTTGTGGGTTTCATGTGGTGATCTCACACTACATTTGCCTTCCAAATTGCTTTCTTTTGTGGTGGATTGGTAAATTATGCATTAATGCAATTAATTATTAAGAGAGATAATATATTAGACTAATGGGGAGAAGCTCTCAGGGGACTAACGGTCCATTTAACGGTGATTATTTAACAGAAAATCCCACACAGCTTGACTTTACTTACATTCCGCTACAGTGCAGTTCTTGTGTTTTTGCAAATGGATGAAAGGACTGTGACATGATTTTTAATGCCTTCCTCATCTTTGACTGTATATTTTTTTTTTCTATGTTCCTTTGCTCTAACATTTGATTCATATCACTCAGACATGGATTTATAGCTCCCGTTGACGATTGTTACGACTCTCCATCATCCTCCAGAAATCTCTTTTTAAGTCTTCTTATCACAAAGCCATAATTCTTTCTGCACCACACTGGCCCGGGTTGTGTAATCTCACTGTGATCACCCGCTCTGACACATGCTTACATAAAGACGCTCTGGTTGATGTGTCAGTGAGTTAAAGAGTGATGAAACACGTGGACGTGTGGCTCTTTGCCAAACCACAACGACACCTAAGGAAACGTCTGCCAGCCGAGGATGCAGGACTGGCTGTCAAAGTTCTTTCTATGAGTGGAAATCATGAACAAATCCACCGGGGGAAAAAAACAGACTTTAAAAGCACTTAGGACTCTTTTGTGTTCATGCATCTCCGCAAAGACTATTTGTACTGCAATGATCGCCCTTTTTTTACAGTGATTTTTACCTTTGCATTTGTGTGGACTAATTTGGGACAGTGTTATGATGCAAATTCACGCCCGAACTTGTAAAGAAGGGCTTTGTGTAATATAGAAATCCTCATTTTGAAAAGATTATGAACAAAAATGAGAAAAACTGCAAATTATATTTGGGTGGGAAGAAGTGGGTTGAGTCCTGATCGGGGAGTTTGTACAATAAAAGACGTGATTTTACACGTGTTTGTATCGTTTTGTGGGGCTACATAAACTCTTTTCTTTTTAATCTATGCAGCACATTTTATACAGATGTAAACTCAATGTGCTTTACCTTTACAGCAGACAGAAGTAAACAAACACAAAACATACTATCATTAAAAAAATTAACAAATAGATTCAAAAACACATTTTAAATCCAACATACATTTATAAAAGGACCCTGCACCCTCCTTTAAAACACAAACATGTGTTCCTATGACAGCTCACACACAGGACCATGCACTAACTGTACATATGTACACACACACACACACACACACACATACATAAAAAGACAAACTAGCTGCCAAAAGCACTAGAGAAAAGCAATATTACGTTTCTACAGCCCTCAGGTCAGCAGGCAGTTTGTTCCACATGACTAAATGCACCTTCATCTGATTCAGCTTTGACCTCAGGTAAATCCAGAAGACTCATACCTGCTGATCTGAGGGATCTGATTGGGCTGTAGACATTGAGCAGATCATACCATTTAATGCTTTGCAGACTAGAAGATATCTATTTTGAATTCGCTTTTGTTTTTTTTTAGGAAATCCTACATAGAGGGCTTTACATTAGGCTCATCTGCTGGATACATTAGTTGTGTGAGTGTTGCATGCCCCAGTGGATTCTTTGACCAGTGACAAAGTGAAGTGGGCGGGGTCAAACTGCACAGAAACCTGACTTAGGCCTACAGTAAGGAACAAGCTCAACACACATGACGAATTGTGCCAAAATGCAACACGGGATCGTGAATGTGACGGTCCGGGATGTGAGGTTCCCCACTTCTTTGGAGCAACACGGCTCCGATGCAATGGTAAGGAAGATTTCAGCAGTCATCTAAAATCGTGCACTGAGTTTTAAAAAGTGTAACATTAGCCTCAAAAAAGTCGGAGACCCGTCCTCACACTGCGGTTTCCCCAACACTACAGCACACAGACCCGGATTATTCAGCTGCATATGTGGTCATCGACACGGACAGCGGACTGAAAGGCTTCGGCCTCACCTTCACCTGTGGAAAAGGCACCGAGATAGGTGAGATTAATACAGTTAGACCCCACGTTTTCACATTGATTGTTGTTTTCATAATTTCGTAAATAAACAGTTTAAGGATAGAGCCGGTTGCTAATAGCTCTTGGAGCCAAGTGGGGGAAATAACAAAGATAAATACATTCTAAAAAGAAAATACACAATGATAAATTTACAACTTCATAGAATGCTTTATTAACATCTGTGTTGGAAAGTTCCCATGATTCTGACTGTACGTGAAGGCAACGCTTCTTCCTCTCATCTGCTCATGTACAAAGTTGACCCGCACACCGCCATCCTGTGGTTATGTTTAATTATTACAACAATAATATTTTCATTTAGGTCCATTTAGACTGAAACAGTAAGGGAAGAGCTGTTTTAGTTTGTAAAATAAAAAAATGTTTCGAGCTTTGTTGACCTTTTTAAGGGGGCGGGGCTTGTGTTGTTGTTTCCCTGCAGTGGTTTGTGCTGTGAAGGCTCTGTCCGGGCTGGTTGTTGGGAAATCCCTGCAGGAGATCGTGAGTGATTTCCGTGGATTTTACCGCCTCCTGACCAGTGACAGTCAGATGAGATGGGTGAGAAGATCATGAAAGACTCTTGCATGTTTTATTTTTGTGACTTGAATGCAGATGAAGCGCTTTGGAATCAAATAAAAACAGAATGGACTTTTGGACGATTTTTTTTTTTTGTAAACTCAAAAATTGGAGAGTGACTTTTTTTTTTTTTTTTTCCTGAACCAGTTGGGCCCGGAGAAAGGAGTGATCCAGCTGGCCACCGCTGCCGTCCTCAACGCTGTGTGGGACCTGTGGGCGCGAGCGGAGTCCAAGGTGGGACTATTTGAAATTTAAAAAAACACAACACAATTTCTTTCACTAGTTTCCCTCTTCCATGACTCACAAGCTGTTGTCGTCGTTCCCCTGTAGCCGCTGTGGAAGCTGCTTGTCGACATGGTGAGTCACAGAAGATGCAGATCTTTGATTTATGTCCAGTGTGTGATCGCAAAGGGGAAACAAAACATCTTGTGTCTGTCGATTCAGGATCCCAAGCAGATGGTCTCCTGCATCGACTTCAGATACATCACAGACGTGCTCACGGAGAAGGACGCTCTCGGTGAGACCTGCTGATGACGTGTAACAAGATGTTTTCACACGTGCACTCCTGAACATGTCGAGTAAATGTCAGGAAAGTACTACTTACTACTTAACAACATACCAGGGTGTCCCTCACAGTTGGAAGCTTCCTCTGATTTATCCGTTTGTGTTCCCACATGTAGGAAACGTGCAGGTTTAGTGCATGTGTGAAAACTGATAAGAGTCCAATTTGAAGACATGAATCCCCATTTTTTCTAAGTGTATTCCTTTTTTTTCAGACATACTCATGAGAGCGCAGGAGGGCAAGCAGCTGAGAGGTGAGAACACTCCAAAGAGCCATTAATTACATGTCTGAATGGGATTATCCAGAAGAAATGGCCTCTTCAACAGGAG